TGAAATAAAGAAAATTTGTGTTCAGTGTTGGCCTCAGATACCAACAACTCTGCTTCACAGATTTGCATGAATTACCTTTCTCACCTGCTGGCATAAACTGTGTGTGTTGCTTTCTTCATATCACTTTAGGCAGTGGTTACTAGAAATGAAAGGTTTTGTTTCTGAGCTGTCCTGAGGGCATGTTATTGCCATGTGAAATCCAGGAAAATGATCCAATCACTACTAAAATTGTTGTTACAGAGATACATAACTTGTCAAAAATGAAAGAACCCTATAATGCATCTCTTTGGTAATGTTAATGTTTACGCTGTTTTATCCCACTTGAGGCTTGATGTTGCCAAGCTGCCCCAGAAACAGCATTAATATGGATGAGAAAAAAAAAGGATTAAGATGTGCATGAGTAATGAAAAGCTTTTACTAGAAATGGAACTGGCATCCATATGTAATAAAGCCTTGCCAAACATTGTCAGTGTTAATAGTTTTGTTTACATTTCTACGTGGCCAGGCCACGCCGCTGTTTTTCATGACTGTGAATTCTGACAATTTTTATATTCTGTTTGGTCCAGGAGCTTTTGCATGTGCAATTAGAGCAGAAAACACAGTTCTAAGTCCCTGTATTCGAGGAAGAAATACCCACAACTGCTTTCTCTGAGCTGTTTCAGTGCAGCAGTTTGCTGTTAGAACCTTCCTTTCAAGAGTTCACGTTTGAAGAGCCAAAATTATGCCACTTGTCAGCCATTCCTGCAGAGCTGAGAAATGCTTCATATTTCTTGATGCTGTTTCTATGCTTTCCCAGAGGATGAGTTTCACATGGGGTTATATCAGGTTGTTTTGAGTTCTGATTGTTCAGCATCACCGTGTCTTGCAGGGTCAGTGGACTCAGAAAAGCCTGGGCCAGAAATCCTCCCCTTTTAAGTAGACAGGCTGGGAGGGCTGGGGCTGTTCATCCTGGAGAAGAGAAGGCTCCAGGGAAACCTTAGAGCACCTTCCAGTGCCTAAACGGGCTACAAGAAGGTTGGAAAAGGACTTTTCAAAAGGGCATGGAGTGATAGGACAAAAGAGAATGGCCTTAAGCTGAAGGAGGGCGGGGTTAGACTGGATATTAGGAAGAAATTCTTCCCTGTGAGGGTGGAGAGGCCCTGGCACAGGTTGCTCAGAGAAGCTGTGGCTGCCCCTGGATCCCTGGAAGTGTCCAAGGTCAGGTTGGACGGGGCTTGGAGCAACCTGGGCTAGTGGAAGGTGTCCCTGCCCATGGCAGGGGGTTGGAACGAGATGATCTTCAAGGTCCCTTCCAACCCAAACCATTCTGGGATTCTGTAATTTGAGATCACTGAGAGGAAGAAAGGCAGCAGTTGCAATCCTGGACACACAACTCCCATCCCTGAGTTACAGAGGACTTTTTTCCCTGTGCTTGAGGATATGCAAGGACCACAAATATCATCTGTAGTGGTTGCTGGTACGTTGACATCAATGGTCCTGGTTGTGTTTGGAGGAGAGGACAGTCAGTGTAACTACCTGAGTCCTGGCTCACAGGAGGGGTAGAAGAGATGTTAAACATATTTTCCATATTTCTCACTCCGAAATCTCAATCTCATTTAGGTGTGAGAAGAGAGAAAAGGTGGTTAAAGAGGAAGTAAGGCTAATCCCAGCTTAGACCACGTTCTTTAGTTATGCTGACTCCTCAACATTTTTTAAAGGCTTAGCTGACCAGTTCAGCTTTTATAACGTGCTCAAGGGAGGGGGGGATACGTGTCCTACTGTCCTTAAAAACGGCACAGCAAAGATCAGTGAGGACTTGGAGTGAAATATCAGAGCTACTCACTGTTATAGAGTGCACATTAATGAGGCTTCCACATGAGGACCAACCCAAGAGCACACAAAGCTGGCAGGAACTCAGTTATTCCTCCAGAGCCTTCACAGCCCTGTCAGCGAGCACTGACTGATAAGGATGGAGTACAGATGAGTGCTATTAAACCAGAACAAAACCCCAGCAAGCACACTGAGCTTTCTTTGTCCGTGAATAACCAGGAATTTTTCCTCTGAAATGTCTTAAAAGTTTAAGCCCGTCCCTTGGGTTTGTTTATGTGTGTCTTGTTTTTGCCATAGTTGTAGGTATTTGCACAGCATTTAGTAATTGGGCTCATATTTCAAGCATTTTCTGTCCTCCTCAGGAAGTTAAAATGTGTGGACTTTCCCTCTTTTTGCAGCATAATAGGCATCCATATCACAAGCAATATTTGTGGTCATTAGAAATGCCAATAATTAGAAAACCCATATTTTTTCATGTGTGTTTACATTTATACTTACCCTAAGTATTCATTAATTTTTATCAGGTGCACTCCTCTTTAATAGGAAGCAGAATTCGCTTTGTTTCACTTGTGTGTGGGAGAATGAGAAATGTATTATATAGTGTTTGATGCTTGTTTTGAAAAGTATTAATAAATGGCTTAGAAAGTAAAGTAATACCCTGTTATATTTGCAATCTTGTATTTGCTTTCTCCTGTATAATTCGCATTTTCATGTATTTGCTGGCGCTCCCTCTTCCAAAATTAACTTTTTGTTAGATGTTTTCTGGCTCATGTGTTTGCTGTACAGTGGAGCAGAAAAGAGGAAAGTGTGGATTAGATAGTTTGAGGTGTGGGATGCATTGTGACCACCTGACCAGGCTCTGTTTGTGAATATATATATTTAATTTTGGTTGGGTTTTTTTTCGTGAAAACTCTGATGGACTGCTGAGAAGGAGCTTTTTATTTTCTTACATTTTCTTTCTCTAGGACTTGTGATATGATCCCTGCTACTTTCCTACCCAAGCACAGCAAGCTCCCTGCTGTCTCTCAGCACAGTGTAGCCAGGGAGGAATCTTTGGGGGAGCCACCTCCTCCCACCTCTTGGTCTGCAGAAATTTCCCAGAAATGGTTCATCAGAAAAGCTTCAGACCACCAACAGCAGAGGTTTCTGGCAGATCAGAGACCCAGAGGAGCACAAGAGGCATGGCAAAAAGGAGAGAGGTGTTATTCTGGCATCCTTTTTGTCTCACAGAACCACGTTTACATCACCAGAAACCCAAGAGGCATCAGTCTGGTAGTGGGGTGCAGATTGGTGGGTGTGTAGAGCAAGGAAGCAACTGGGGACTCAGTGGTGATACCCTGGTGGTGATCTTTGCACTCAAATGCCATCTGAAAATCAGCAATGAGATGGTGCAGATCACTGCCTGCACTTGGTGATTCAATCACAAGTCTCTCAGTGGCTTGGCTGCTTGAGATCCCATTCCCCAAGTTCAGATATTAAGGGAGGATCTCAATTTTCACGAGCAGTAAGAAGCAGAAAGCAATGTTCCCACCTTTGCAGTTGCAGAGCAAAGTATGAATATTAACAGAGTGCACCCTGAGGGCTCACAAACCAGGTGGATAAAAGGAATGATAGAAATAGAACCACAGAATCACATCCTTGGTTGGAAGGGACCCACCAGGATCATCGAGTCCAACTCTTAGCCCCTCACAGGACACCCCCAAGAGTCACACCATGTGCCTTAAAATGAACAAATACAACTGCTGATTTTTAGAGCAGCATGTGACTGCTGGAGCTTGTGCAGAGCCCTCTTCCAGCAGGCAGAGAGGGTGGGAGCCTGCAGACAGCTGGAGGACTCCGTGTCTTTTCTCTCTCCCTTCTCCACCATCCTCTGCTGACAGGGCCACACGGTTTTATTGTCCTCCTGTGGGCCATCAGCAGCAGATCTGGCAGCAGCACAGCCCACACACGCTGCCTCGGGAGGGTGGGGTCGTTCACGGAGCACCCTGCCCCAAAATCTGGCTCGGGCTCCCCTCCTCACCCCCATCCTTGGCCCCTGCACCTCCAGCCACTGCCAGCTGGCCTCCTCCACGGCTGCTGTCATCTCATGGGCTGCACACTGAGCCTCCTCACCAGCCCAGGGCTGGGGTTTGTTCCCTGGCTGCTGGCGAGGGCCGTGTGGTGAGGAGGGAGGTGCTGGGCTGCACCCCCTGCTCCATCCCTGCCTCGCTGCCAGGCTGGGAGGAGGGAGTCGTGCTGTGCTTCCTGTCCATCTCACAGGATCACAGAGTCATTTAGGCTGGAAAAGCCCTCCGAGATCACCAGGTCCAACCTGCGACCTTGTCAACCAGAGCACTGAGTGCCCCGTCCAGTCGTTCCTTGGACATCTCCAGGGATGGGGACTCCACCACCTCCCTGGGCAGCCCCTTCCAGTGTACACCCTCAAGCACCATGGTCACCCTAAGTAGCCCCTGGAGAGGGGTGCTTTCCTTGGAAGCTTGCTTTTCAGGGGTGCCCCCTGAGCCTGTGCACTGCTGGGACAGCAGGAGTGGGGGAGCCTGGACCAGTTCTCGTGGCCAGGGAGCCTCATCTCAGGCAGGATGTGTCCCCTCAGGAGTTTCAACTCTTCCCACAGCTTCCTGATGGATGTGGTAGAGTCAGCACCAGCCCAAGCCTGGCCCAGGCATCACCATGATAGCACAGGGAAGGAATTGGTACCAGCATGGATGCATGGCACTGGGGATAGAGGATTACATTCCCTCCCTCTGGAGTCTGTCTGGTCCCCAACCAGAGGTGATGGCAGCAGCCCCATCACTGAGGGGCCTGGTGAGCCCTGCTGCCCTCGAAGGACATAACCACTGTGGTGAGGGAAAGGGTCTGGGGAAGCCCTTCCCACAGCTCCAGAGCAGGATGCCCAGCCAGGAAGGGTTGACACGAGAGAGAGAGAAGTGACTGGTGGGCACTGTATCCTCTCAGGGCTGGGAGTGGGCATCTCTGCTGAAGCTGGTGGTGGATGCTGGTAGACAGGGCGAGGTCCCTGGATCAGAGGTTGTGCCCAGATGTCTCAGCTCCTGGTCCAGAGAGGACCTGGCCTGTGTCCCAGAGGAAGGAAGGGGAGCTCCCAGGGAGTCAGCAAGGCCTAGCTTTGGGTCGCTCCTTCAGGGGCAGTTAAAGCAGTGGTTTGTCTGCACCCCTGGCAGATCTGGCCCTCTGCATCACTACCTGGGACTCCACAGACCTGGGCTTTGCTGCCCATCCTGCCCTCTGCTCCCTCCCAGCTCCTGGCCACTGTTCCCAAATGTTTGGTGGTGTGTGTTTGCCCATCAGCTCAGCCACTGGTGGGGTGAGTCTCCCCAGGGGAGAGCTGGCAACATGTCTGTCCCCAGGGGCCCTCACCTCCATCAGAACTCGTGGGCCTAAAAAGCAATAAGCAAGTGATGAATTCACCTCCTCGTGAGAGGGACAAGCCCCTTTTCCTGGGGGAATATTGTAATGCCTGCTCTGAAACGTGGTCCCACTGACCCTTCTCCTGTTTGCAGGAAGCGTTATCAGTGGTGAGCGAAGACCAGTCCCTGTTCGAGTGTGCCTACGGATCACCCCACCTCGCCAAGACAGAGATGACGGCCTCCTCCCCCAGTGAATATGGGCAGACCTCAAAGATGAGCCCACGTGTCCCCCAGCAGGACTGGTTGTCACAGCCCCCGGCCAGAGTCACCATCAAGATGGAGTGTAACCCCAATCAGGTTAATGGGTCAAGGTAACGAGGCTCAAGAACGCTTTTTCATGGGATGGGTGTAGCTCAGTTTTCTAAATCTGTGAATCTGGCCCCGTTTTAGATGCCCCAGGTGGCACCTGGCCACCAGCTGCCATCCCAGAAGGCTGCAGGTCTCCTCATCACACCACCCAACCCTGTTCAGGTGTTAGGAGCTCTTAAAAGTTGCTACAGGCACAGTCTTCTCATGAGCTTGTGCAAGACTTCTGTGTCTCCTCTGACTGTGGCTAATTTTCGGATGTGAACTTGCTTTGAAAGAGCACGTATTTGAAGTTAATAAAATGAGGGTTTGCTGTAGGCTGGAGCAGCACCGCTGATCCATCCAGGGCGTGGGGTGTGTGATCTAACACTCGGTGGAAGTTGTCAAATGCAGTAATTTTGGGCAGTTGCCTTTGCTCTAAAAATAACCAGAGAAGCATAGGAATAAAAGAAAAATAAATCTTGTAATGGCAGGGGGAGTAAACTCTTGATCTTTGCTTTTATATTTACTGTAAACACAGTGCCAAAAAGTGGAGTTGTATTTTAGAAGAATTCATGCTGAAGAAACATGTATGGAGGGAGGGAGGGGAGTAGGAAGGAACAGGAAAAGAAATTACTCAGCTCAGCTGGCAGTATCCACAGTGTGTCTGTGAATTAACTGTTGCCTCAGGACTTCTTTTATGAATGTCACTATGAAAGAGAATTGTATTGATTAGGCTGAAAGAGTAATACAGTGAATTTTTGGGTGTCAATCAGCAGCTTCCCCAAGCTTAGGAGCACTCTCTGGGCCATCTGAAAAAACACAATGGAGATTTTTTTTTTTTTTCAAGGAAACTATCCAAACAAGAGTTTTCCTGTTTAAAATGCCTCACTGTCGAAACAGTTTTCCTTTGGTGTTGCTGAAGGGCAAAGGTCCAGAGAGTCAGTTGCTCACAACTGGTGGTGATGTACCAGTGAGGGCTGTGCTTCACATCTCTCTGTCACCAACAACTGTGTTCTCATCTCATCTCCCAGTACCAGTTGTTTAGAAAAACCTCAGAGCCATGGGCTCTGTGGTCACTGTTCACACTTGCTGTGTTGATGGGCAAAGTGGTTTGGCAGCTTATCACACCTCTTCACTGGTAAAAATGGAAGTTGTGCTGAAGCCAAATCAGAATTTCCAGTGAATAGTCAAAGATTTGAGATACGTGGAAATAAACGGTGAGCTGAAGTTTTAAAGAATTAGAGGAAGTGTTCTTGTAAGCCTACTTATTCAGAATTTCAAGTGTCTTTATATGTGTCTTTTTTTTTTATGCTAAGCAAATGCACAATCACAAATGGACTATTGATTCAAAACCAGTCTTACCTGCTTCCTAAAATTACCTCTTAAATATTTGTGTAAGCAAACTGATCCCAGTTTTCCTTAGTGTAAATTCCATAAAGTGCATCAGAGTAGATAATTGGTGTTGATTGTTACTGAGATTAGTGGTAATAATTTGTGATTAGTGGTAATAATTTGTAATTAGTGGTAATAAATTGTAACTAACGTCAGTCATAGAGAGACTCCTGCTTTGACATATCCCAGATCTTAAAGAAGAGTTGAGATGGCACAGATCCATTTGGAGTTGTTGGACAATCACACTTTAAAAGCAGTCAAGCCAGAATCCTGAATTTGCTGTCTGGGATTCCTGAAATGCATAACTAGACTGAATATTAGAGCTCAGTTTGTGCATCACAGGAATTTGGCTGTTGCTGATGTGGTTTAAAGGACAAAATCATGGGCAGTAATACCACCTTTTATTAACTGAAACCTTGTCCTGCCTAGTCCTTGTTAGCAACCCTGGTAAGGGTTATAGTTTGATTTAAGAGGTCAGGACCCCTACCAAACCCAAAATGTGTGCCCAGAGTCAGATCAGTTAAACTGAGTCTCAGGCAAACCCACATAACCTGTGGGTGAGGGCTCGGTGTGGAAAACCTGTTGTCCCACACCAGCATCCTCAAACTAGTAGGGACTGGTAGGAGCCCTGATTTGGGAACAGACATCTGCAGGCACTAAATCCTCTGACTCCTGCAGGGACTTGCCTGGTCCAGGAAGAGCCAGGTACCCTGAGACACCCTGACTTTAGGGCAGGGCAGGCTCACATTCAGCCTGTTTTACAGCCTGGAGGCTTGGGGGCATGTGCTTGGGTTGGGGTGGAGGTTTGCTGCCCATATCTCCCCATTTTAAGTGTGTTCACCTTCTGTATGTGAGCTCAAAATACTTCCCAGGGATGGATAAGCATTCAGAAACCCTGAATTAAGCAGGCTGTTTGGATTTATCTGCATAATGTCTACCAATGCAATGCAGTGTCACGTTATAAGAAAGATGAAGCTGTTAGAGAGCATCCAAAGGAGGCTGTGAAGACGATGAAGGGTTCAGAGGGGCCAGACAAGATGCAGCTGAGGGCACTTGGCTTGTCCAGCTGGAGCAGAGGACACTGAGGGCAGAGCTCATCAGGGTCTGCAGCTCCTCCTGAGGGGCAGCTCTGACCTCTGCTCTCTGGAAGCAGGGACAGGAGCCAGGGAAGGGCTGGAGCTGGGACAGGGCAGGCTCAGGGTGGATCTCAGGACAAGGTTCTTCCCCCAGAGGGTGGTGGGCACTGACCAGGCTCCCCAGGGCAGTGGGCACAGCCCCAAAGCTGCCAGAGCTCCAGGAGGGTTTGGACAACACTCTCAGGGGCAGGGGGGATTGTTGGAGTGTCCTGGGCAGGGCCAGGGCTTGGACTGGATGATCCTTGTGGGTCCCTCCCAACTCAGAATATTCTGTGATTCTGTAATTCCCTTTCCTTTGTGCTATTTTCTGTTAGTGTGTTGAATCACTCAGGGTGATACTCTGGCTCCCTGCAGAGCCAGCAGAGAGGAGCTGCTGCTGGTTTCAGCTGCCAGAATTGCCCTTTGTGGACAGGACTGTCTGCCTTTCCTGCAGAGGTGTCTGCACTGTCTGTGTAAAGTCCCTGTGCATGTGGAGAGGGGCTCTTCATCAGGATCTGGAGTGACAGGACAAGGGGAAATGGCTTCAAACTGAAAAACAGCAGGGTTAGGTGGGATATTGGGAAGAAATTCTTCCCTGTGAGGGTGGGGAGCCCTGGCACAGGTTGCCCAGAGAAGCTGTGGCTACCCCATAATCCCTGCAAGTGCCCAAGGCCAGGTTGGATGGGGCTTGGAGCAACCTGGGCTAGTGGAAGGTGTCCCTGCCCATGGCAGAGGGTTGGAATGGGATAATCTTTAAGGTCCCTTCCAACCCAAACTATTCTATGTTTCTGTGATCTGCACTGTTGCAAGCAGAACAGGCATCTACTTCTGCAAGGATGTATAATCTGAACACTGGGGAATTGTCTTTAAGAGAAACTTCTTCACTTAGTCATGGGGCATAATTTTGATTCAGACCTTTCCAGCAGAACTGTTGTTACGAAGATGAGACACCCCAGGAGTTTCCAAGGAGCCCCAGGACACACTTTTGCACCACCCTGATCACGTTTACCACCACTGCAGAAGTAAAGAGATGAAAAGAAGCAATTTTATGTGTCTCCTCTCTAAAAATAAATAGCATTAGATCTACCTACTCCATCATTTGGAGTTTAGTGCCAATCAGCTGAGCAGCACATGAAGAATAGGTTCTTAATTTTGCTCTAAACAGCATCACTCAGAGGTTTTTAATGTGGCCACCACTGGGAAATGAACAGCTCAGCAGTGGCTCTGGAAGAGGCTGTACAAGTTACTGCTCTGAACTGCAGAATGGTTTTGCTCAGAACACTGATTTCCTAAAGAAAATATAATGGGATGCAATGTAATTCTTTCTATATTGAATTAAAAATAACCTGCAACCCTGAAAGCAGGGTTTTGTTTATTAATCTTGGATTTGACAGCCTCCCCTGTTGAAAGAGCTCCTACCTGGGACAAAGAAATTTCATACTTCACTACAGTTCCTAAGACATGACACTTGTTGAAAAAGAAACAAAAAAATTCGCTTACAAGCTACCAAAAAAGAAAAAGATTAACAGAACAACAACAACAACAAAATTGTGTGCGTATATATGTTTATACTATGCACAAAAATAATAAAAAATATTATTATAGTTAAAAAAACCCCATTTATTTCATCAAAGAACTATTATTTTATAAGGCCTAACTCGTGCCTGAAAATATAGATCTTAAATAATACACTTCTAATGGAGAACTAGCACTGCCAAGTAACAAAAATAAAGGTGTTGTGGCACTTCTAAAACTCACATGCACGTGTGTACGTCATATGTAGGGTGTTATTACACTTTGGGGATTGGAATCTTCCTAGTATGTGAAATTCCAACCAGTTTTAGGGAAAAAAACACGTGTATCAGATTGGTGGTACCCTGTGATTCTGTAGGTCACTTTGCATTTTTCCTTTCTGCAGGAGGTTTCCCCACCCTGCTCTTTTGCAGTGCATAAATTTGTTGCCTTAAATGAAATGCTCAGTTGTTAAAAAATACTTCCTATGTTGAAAATTAACACGTGCAGGAGCTGGAGCGCTTGGAGCCGCTTTTCATTTTTAGTAAAGCTGTACCTGCTCTGTTTATACCCTTTTTAAAATCTGGGTGGTCCCAAAGGAGTCTAAACTATGACATCACTTTGCTGAGCCATGGAAGTGCTACCTGGAGGATCTCCAGAGTGTATCCTCTGGAATTGTCTTGCTGGGCACCTGGGTCTGAATAATTCGGCGTAAAGAGGATGCAAAGTAGGGTATGAGACCCCACAAAGGGGTGAGCAGGGAGGAGTTAAAATGGCAATATTTGCTGTCCAGCTCTCCCTTCTCACTTTATTTCCTGGCCATGTATTCTGTCATCTGGGAGAGGGTGTAAAATTTTAGGAGCACGCTGAACCCTTTAGACGTCCACAATTAAGTAGAAAAATGTGCTTGTCTGGTAGGACTTTTCCCACATATACTTTACCTGTTATTGCCTTACATTAAACCTCAAAACATAACTGGCATTCCTGTGAATACCAAAAAAAAT